CCGTTATTAACACGCCTGTCATTGGTGCTTAAATCTTTCAGACGTAGGTCGGGCACATCAATGACATCTTTGCCGTAGAATCAGTCAAGATGGCTAAAACGGTATTAGACATTCGCAGCACGGAACTGTCGTGAATTGAGTCATTCCATAAAGGCTTTTATTGACTATTTGGGGGGCAAACTCAAGCAATTAGCAATGGTTCCTGTCGTAGAATTGTATTCAAGTGGCTCGCAAAAACTGCGTAATGGGATTCAAAGAAATGATTTACGTGTATTATTCACTCTACACGCACACAGACTATCGGCGACCTTTTGGACAACTATGGTGTGAAACGGGCCACATATTCGGAATGAGCTATCCCGTTGAAAGTAGGATTTTAATTCTGAATGTTAATAAAAAATAAAACTTTATTGTCCAGCACAATGCAGCTCTTGACCATTTTAAGGGTGATTAGTCCGCATTGTGATTAAAAGCCGGAAACCAACAAAGGCTATTTTCTTTTATTCATTTTTTATAATCTATATCTAAATCTTTATTTTTTCATGTTCTTTACTTTGTTTGTTGTTTTTTTTTTTAATTTTGAACTTTGACTGGTATAAAGGAACGATTATTGAGATAAAAGAGGAATTTCATCTAGAGTGTCGAAATACAAAACAAAAATAGATTTTCCCCTATACAGTCTCTATTATATACTATGATGTCCCGGCTACACCCAAGGACGCCCATTCTTTGTACAAATCACATTCCAATATCACCAGCTTATGGAGTGTTTGTGTCTCAGCTAATTCGTTACGCGAGAGCTTGTTCCTTTTATTTTGATTTTTTAAGTATATCGAGGCATTTGTCATCTAAGCTTCAACTACAGGGATACTTGCGAACTAAACTTATTAAAACCTTTAAAAAGTTTTATGGTCGTCATATTGACTTGATTGTTAAATATAACATGTCTCTCTCGGTTATTATTCTAGATATATTTAATTGACGCGTATACTATCTCCCGGATTATGTATGTCTGCTACATCGATAACATTTTGCATACCGATAGTCCATTGGCCAATCCCGCTATTTTACCGAGATTGCGTCTAAAAGTTTGGATGCAGCTATGGCGGGTGTGGCGCCAGGCAGGGTAAGGTTACTCTTCCGGAAACCTGTTACCTCTGTTTGTCGTGTATTTTGTACACGGTGAACAGTCCATATGCTGATTACACTATTTTGCCTTATTTCACTATTTTGCCTATACCGTTTTTTTAGGACTTCGAATTTTGTCTAATGGTTTGAATTGTTCGTACTTGTTTTATTTTATTCAGGAAAATATTTGCTAATAATTATCTATTTGACATTTTGTTTCGTTTATATTTTCCCGAGAAGCCCTCTAGCACAAGGCGATCTAGGTCTGATGTTTAAACAGGAAGTGATTGCTATAAATCCCCAAGATTTTCGTACTGTCCTTGATTTATGTGTTTCAAATTTACTGCTTTCTATTTTGCCAATTCTGAGATATATGGAATCGATATTATTTCAATTGTAGGGCAAATACAACTTCCACAACGAATGGAAAATACATGCTAGAAGGCTTGGCTTACATTTTTAACAGAAATAACAAATCACATGTAATTAACCTGGATCTTCTTTGTTCCACGTAATAAGACATAATCAGTCCGCGAAAAACAAATGTATCGATGCAGAAATGGAGTTTTACGAGAACAGTGAAAACCCAATTCCTTCGGGTGGTTCTTTTTGTCCGTTCAAAACAATGGTTGCAATATAGGATACAAGAGAGTATGCGTACTCTTTCCAAAAGCATCAGATACCATTAATTTGTCATAAATATTTATGTTTGTACCTGTACAATTAAGACGGTGGCTGTTCGCTGTAACTTTGACTATGGACACCCAATGTTCCAACTATCACCCAATTTCGCTATAAGGAGTAGTGAATGTCGTTTGCGAGACATGATATGCTTACTCCTGTATCAACACTTGCCGCCACTTTTAATATAGCCAACACGTTTTTTTTTTGTTTTGTTGGGTTTTTTTTTTTGGGGGGGGGGGGGTACTTTTGCACCCCTTAACAGCAGGATTGAGCAAAGATTAGCTGATATACTTCTACCACCAGGCGTAACCGATAACTACTTCCGCTAACGTTACAATTGATTGTGTGTTATTAAATTCAGTTCTACCTAGACTTCTATATATTTTATTGATACGCTAGGCCAATATCCGTTCAGGACATAAGCCATTAAGTTCGGCATCCAAGAAAATAAAAATAAATTTCTAAATTGTGATTAAACGGCTTCTTCACCAACAAAACAAATTAATAAGATACCGATGTCACTAGAAAACAGATAATATAAGCTATTGTCAAACAGCCCATTACTTAAATAGGAGGCGATATATACATCATTGAGTTTAAAGATATAAATTACCCCAGTAAAAAGTGTTCTGTTATTTTTGATAAACTGTTAAGCAATTAATTTTCGATTGTATTCAGTGGGCTTTTGATCGTGATAAATTTGTCCCTAAACTGCCCTTTTATAATCAACGGTGAACACCTTGCACACTATAAAGAAAAAAAACGGACCCGATCTGATAAAGTTATTTAAAGCGCACTTAAAGTGTTTCTTCTTAATAATTAAGACAAACAAAAGATCAGCGTTCTTGAATCCTAAACGCAGTTAATGCAAACTTAACCACACCATTGTCAATTTTCAATTATCCAGAAGACATTTGTACTGATTATCCTTGTAACATTGATGTATTAATAAGTACAAAAGATGTCAATTAAGTCGATAGTTTATTAATCTAGAAATATTGCTGATGAAACTTTTTAGCAGCTACAGAAAGGGAAGAAAATAAGGAAACCAATAAGGTAATAGGTAATTATGGGCAATATGAATCGTCATACATTGAGAATAAGGATACCTTTTCACTGCTATTAGATGTATTAAGAGCAAATGGGTGTCTTTCACATTTTTTACTTACGAAGTGCCTTTGTCATGGTAAATATACCTGTAGACTAAAACGAAGGCTGTTAAAACGTTTCGAATATTAAATTTCCAACTTCCGTTAAATTAATGCTCTTGGTAAAATTTAATCTGGACGATAGACATCATTCGTATACTTATTGGGGGCTGACTGTTCGGTCGGTCTCTGAAATAAATTATTCTTTGCGAAAATGAACCCCGGTAAGTTTTAGTGTCAATAATTGATTTTAATTGTGCGAACAGACCGAATAAGTTTCGTAAATGAGTGCAGTGCTCTACATTTTTGGAATACAAATTGATCCACGAATCTAAAAATAAATACATTTGCATATTTTTGACCAATATAAACCAAAATATTGCCTTGTATGAACATTCAAGAATAACCATTACAGCTTCATTTATAGTCGATGACACGGGATCAGTTGCCAATATTAGTACACGAAGATCTAATTATTCAAGGTGTACTTTCTTGATTAAGCCTTTAATATCTGTTTGATAGACTGGAATGATTAATAGCTTTACCCCTGACATTTCCAGTCCTGTGGCCACCGCTAGGCACTCGTATACTTCCAATATGCTTAGTTCCTCTAAGGAAATCGCGCTTGTGCTTGACGCCAAATCAAACAATGTAATGGCGGTATTTGACGAAGCGTTACACGACATCACCCGTCAATCCATTATTGACGTATTTCGGACAAAATTACCTTCTTTCTGTTGGCCAATCGATATGATAGATGGAAAATATGAGAAACTGCTACGAAGAGGAAATTCACAACCTGTTGGAAACATGAGCATCCGGACTATCGGAATTCGAAGCCTTTCTATAGCATATCTGGCAGGCGAGAAACTGCATCGTGGCCCATCGTTTGCTTTTTTGCTAAGACGGATAAGTCAACACTGTTGACGTACTTCTTGTCTGGAGAGCCACTTTCTTCAATATTTAAACTGGCAATCCCACAAAACCATAGAGTTGTGTTAACAGAATAGAAAATGGGTCTAAAATAATACGTGGCTCAAGGCTAAGCCGTTCTTTGGTTTTTAATATCCACTCGTCGTGTCGCCTTTGGCAGAATATAAATGGATGTTGTATGAAGCATTTATTACTTTTCATCGAACACAGTCTTTTGTTCACGATTCAGTAGTCATGAATTTGATATCGTCTGAACCTCTGGGGCAAGCCTCTAAATATTGAACATCTTCTGATAAAAAATCATCAATGAACTGCCGATCGAGGCGAAAGCGACAGGTCCAGAATCCAATTAGATTGGGGCGACATGCTGCTATTAAATTGCATCTGCCTCAGTTATTTTGAGCCTACGAAACATGTAAAAGTAATTTACTAATAAGTGTTCTACAGTAAAACAAGTATGTGATCAATAATTAAAGAATTCTTTTAAAGAAATCCACTTTCTATTGGTCCTCGGAACACCATTAGGTAGTGTTTTAGATGTCTCGTAAACAAGGTTACTGTGACGTTCAATATAAAGAAGCATGGAAATCAGTTGAATTCTTCAATTTTTCACTTCAATTCAATCCACTTACTCAATATTCTGAGATAATTCTGTAAAGTGTTTACGCTTCGAGATAAAATGTGTGAACATCCCAGTCAGTGGTGGTGACATTCGCTAGAATTGACATGTTTTCAATTTAAATTTGTGGTCGTTGTACCATATTTTAGGTGTACGTTTGTAGCACCAACATCAAATAAAACCGAGGTAAATATTAAACAAGACACGATACGCGATAACAGTTAAAAAGAACTGGTACATCATACATTATTCACTGAATTATGGCTTGTAAATGTGCATGTCAACCGGCACTTCAAACATGAATTTTGTTAAGCATCTCTTAAATACGTCGTAAAATATAACATGAAGAACCGCAACTAAATCGAGCTTATACATCAGGTCTAATACATTATCCTTTCTTGGTTGGTGTTAACACCTTAATGATAATCTTTTTTCTGTAAATTAAACATATATTTATTTTCTTAATGACTTTTTATACATTTTTTCAGATTCCACAAATAAGTTATTCTTCCACTAGTGTCGATTTGAGTGACAAATCGCGATTTGAATACTTCTCCAGAGTTGTGCCCCCTGATACCTATCAGGCTCAAGTAATGGTGGAAATTGCAAAGTCTTTTAAGTGGGATTACGTTAATACTTTAGCAGACGAAGGGAATTATGGAGAAAGGGGAATAGGAAAATTTGAAGAAATTGCAAAACAATCGGGTATGTATGACTCAATAACGAATAATAATAAACAAAAAATTAGTTATACTGGCGTCACACTGTCCCGAAATAGACACCAGATGGACATACGAATACGTAATTTTGAATTTCACACGAAGATAGCCATGAACTTGGTCAAAAAACAATCAACAACCGAAGCAAATACGGTGCCTATATTGACACCCGAACCATACACAAAGGTAATACGAAGATCTGAATTTTATACAGTAGTTTATACCAGCAGGACACACGAAGGCCACACGATGGCTTTGTGGAGTTGCCCAGGACTGACTCAGAAACCTGCTTTATCGGGCGTCTCTCGAATTTGACACCAGATTGTCACACGATAAAGTAAATTCGGCTCTCATCGTAAAAACATCGGACCATTCGTAAGTGCATCTTAAGCCATCGTATGGCCGCCTGTGAAGTTTTTCAGGCTCCGGCAGCAACTTTGTGAGCGCTGGCAAAATCTTTGACATGCCAAAGAATTGCCGAAAGACCTTGCGAAGGTTCATTTTCGTGTTGAATTCGTGTGTTCATAAGGTCATCGTGAGGGCTTCACGTAGTAGAGTTGCCTTTCTAAGTCAATCGGGCAGATTCTTGTTTACTTCGTTTTGTTTTTGTATGGAGAACAAGTGGTTTATATGCAAGAAACGTCCACATTTTGCAAGAGATGGACAGAGGACAAGCCAAAAAAACGACTTTACGTACAATCAGGGACCATACGCGAATACAATCAGATTAAAACACAGATCTTATTTCGTTTTGTTTTTTTACAGTTCAAAATTTCGTTTTACTTGTCTTTACTACACTAGGATCTGGAAGAGTTGTTATCATTGACGCGTTCCGGATGATGTGAGGGATTAGCCAATGAAACGGTCTGTTAAGGCGAACTTTTGGCGTGTGGTGCACGGAACTGCGGGTAATCCACTAGAAACATCAATGCTGATTGGTTAATCAAATGTCTGACGTCATAGTTCAAAAGCCGCTCGTATGACCTCTGACGCGACCCCCCCCCCCAAAAAAAAAACAAAAAAACAAGTGGGGTAAGATCTTCAAGTAGTGTAGGCCATCGAAAGTATAAAACAAACGAAACGAAATATAGATCTGTATTTTAATCAGATTGTGCGCGAATATCGAAAGGCACCATGATTGTTGGATGATAAACATACATTTCAAGTTTCATTAAATGTGGGCGTATAAGAATGAGGTGAAGTAAAGACGAAGATGACACGATTTGACAGATGCCCCCACATTGGCCTTATGAAGGACAACATGGACACACAAATTCAAATGAACCTTCGCAAGTGTTTGCCAGCGCTCAAGAAGTGGCTGTTGGAGCCCGGGAAACTCTACAGGAGGTCATAGGATGGCTTAAGATGCCCTCTTGGGCCCCATGTATTTACGATCAGAGACGAATTTGAACATTTACTCTATCGCGTTTCCATATGGTGTCAGTTTCGGGACAGCGTGACGCCCGCTTAAATTAATTGATCTTTACCAATAGTAAAACGCAAATTCAAAAGAAACGTGGTGTCAGGTAAGCACATAACAACTGTCTTTAGCATCATGGTGAAACAGATAATGTTGTGTAAAATATGGGCTGTATAGTAATGGAGGCAACCGCGGTGGCCCAGTGGGTAAGATACTGGTTCGCTAACCAAGAATCCATGTTCTCCCTCGGTGTTGGCCTCTGGATGTTTCGGCGTTGTTTCCCCTTGACAGTATTGCAAGACAGAGGGTATAAGGAACAGTGTCTAGTCATTCGGACGGAGCAAAAACCACCGTTGCCTGCATGCTACTTTGAATAAATGAAATGGAATGGGGTTTTGACGCCCTACAGCTCTGCACCAACTGGGATAATAAAGAGGGTATAAGGAACAGTGTCTAGTCATTCGGACGGAGCAAAAACCACCGTTGCCTGCATGCTACTTTGAATAAATGAAATGGAATGGGGTTTTGACGCCCTACAGCTCTGCACCAACTGGGATAATAAAGAAGGGAATATGCCATACAGTGAGCTATGACGGATATTTTGCCGAGATAGCGAAACTACGATTTACTCTTATTTCGAATTCAAACTGCCAATGTGTACACGGGACCTAGATACGGTTCCTTCTCAGATCCCCATGCCTGCACCACTGACACAGGGGAAACCACCCGGAAAATCCTGAGGAACTTCCTCGGCCAACACCGGAAGCGAACCCGAGACCTTCTGGTCAGCAAGTCGGTGTCTTACACATTGAGTCACCGAGGCTCCATTAATAAATGAACATCTATATGTTTGTGTCATATCGAATATAGCTATGCCAAATTATATTTCAACGTTTATATATATTTTCTAGATGTTCATTTTCCGTGATATGAAACATAAGACTGTCCCGTTCTATTGCAGAGTCTTGTAGACCCATATATAATGACATAAATAATCTGGTCTCAATTAGTTGACAAAATCAGCCAGACACTTCGTTACACAAATAACAGTCGGAAAAGGTGAATATATGGGAGTCGTCCATTAATTTGCCCAGTCTGGAATCCTGCATATGCAGAATATGGTGATCAAATTAATCAGTAGCCATAATATGATATATTGTACATGGACATATCTAAAAGTATCGTCTGGAAATAACGATGTCAGATTCTCTGATTTTTTAATGATACATGTAACTAGCAAGTGCAGGGCGGACATCATAAGAATAATATATTAAATTCTTCGGATTATGTGAGAGGATTGTTAATTAGCTCTAACGATTTCAAGACCCCTTTAAGATTTATTAAGAATAAATCTTATAATAACTGTAGTAAGCATATAATGCAAATAGCACGTAGAATTACCAAGTTGTATATATTAAAATATACTCTTAGACCACCACCCCCTTTAAATATGTTTTTAGAAAGTAATGTTTTAACCAGCCGAATAAACAAACTGCACTTTGAATTAACAAGTTGTATTTATTACAATATACCCCGAGATGGTATTGTTTTAACAAGCAGAATAACCAGCATAAGAAAGCTTCTAATTTTGATTAGATTACTATGGTTAGTAAACTGCACAAATAGTCTGAGGCCAAACAATAACGATAGCATCATGTCTAAAGACATTACCATTTGCAATCATTCCGATCAGTTTCTTTTCTTAGCCCATGTATACTCTTAACCAGATATTAATTCATGGCATCATGGTTGTAGTCTTTCATCTATTACAGGGGTGTGTGTATCTAGGTCGCTCAAGATACCACGATCAGTAAACGATACAACATTTATAAATTTAATACATGAACTTCTTAAATCAAATAATACGGCTAAGGCCGTTGTGATGTTTGTTAACGAAGATAATTGTTGGAGAATTCTGCAAGCCATGAAAAAGTTAAACAAGACCGGAGAGTTCTCAATTCTTGCTAGTGATAGTTGGGGCGCCAAAGTACACCCCGTCCTGCACCAAGAAGAAGTTGCTGAAGGAGCGGTAACTCTTTTGCCTAAACGCCGAGTAATAACAGGTAAATGGTCATTCCTTACTCGTAAATGTAGGTCTAAGTTGTTTTGTACACTCTACACTCAATATTTAATATGCTTTCCGAGCCACACTTAATGGGTCATATTCTGGTTGCTTCGCTGTTGCATTTCTCGTTATTACTGGATCATAGGTACTTTTAATATCAGTTATTGGGGACTTGGTGGCCTGTACCTTTTACAAAACCCACTAAAACAGCACTATTCTATCCGTTCATGTTAATTCAAAGATAATATTTAGCATGTCATTACACTGAACATTACATAATATCTTAATACCATTTTTTGTTTTCAGATTTTGATAATTATTTTAGAAATTTAACTATATATAATAATAATCAACGAAATCCCTGGTTTCGTGAATATTGGGAAGAAATCTTCAATTGTAGTCTTACTAATCAACCTAAGAAGAGACGGTGTACAGGTAATTTAAACAATTTATTATCGATAATTAATTTAATCAGTCATATCAAACTAGATTCCAAATTGATGCGGGTGCCGTCGTGGCTTAGTGAGTCAGGCTTCCCTCTCGCTATTGGCCGAGGAAGTTTATCGGCGTGGTTTCCCCGTGTTAGCGATGCAGATAGAATGGATAAAACAACCCTTGGCAGCTGGAGTAGGCCGTAGTGTCGCTATCCGGGTAGAAATGAAATGAAATGGAGTTTAACGTCCTACTGTTCTGCTCCTAACCTGGGCTAATGAAGACGGGTATACGCCATACAGTGTGCTATGAGGGAAATTTTGCCCGGACAGCGGCACTACGGCCTACTCTTATATCGAATTCCAACTGCCAAGGGATCTTTTACGTGCACGCCAATGTGTACACGGGACCTCGGTTTTTCGTCCCATCCGAACGACTAGACAGCTTTCCTTGTCAGCCCCCTCCGTCCTGCATCACTGACAAGGGAGAACCACGCCGGAAAATCTGGATGAACTTTCTCGGCCAATGCAGGGATCGAACACCCGACCTCCAGGCTATCGAGCTAGCGTCTTACCCACTTAGCCACGTGATCCCCTATCCGGGTAGACGTTTTCTCATAGCACACTGTATGGCATAATGATATACCCGTTTTCATTAGCTCAGTCGGTGCAGAACAGTAGAACACCAAACCCGATTCCAATTCGTTTCCAATTTGATGCCAATATCAGAGGTTTTTGCTAAGAACCAAACTTATATAGTCTCGGGCTATTAGGTTGAAATTATATTTATTGGTAGACGTTTTTAATCCCCACACAAAAGTAGGCCGGTCTAGATTTAAAGTTGCAAATCAACATTTGCATGTTTCAGACAATATCTTACCTTTCGCGTCTTAATCCATACTAAAATGTATTCAGTTTGATTATTTAACATCTGCTTAACAAAATGAGATTAAAATATCGATCTCCCAGCTTGGATTCAATCGGGTTAAAAAGAGGCGCTGACTTTTGTTACTGTAGCCTATACTTGTCATCAGTGGATGTAGAATGTTGTTGAATTTTTATTAGTCATATCTTATGCAAAATATAAAACGAAACTGAACTATTTTTGGGACTGATATACCGTTTAAGAATTCACCTCTAACAATATTGTAGTTTGCAAGGAATTAACATTCCCCGTATGACATTATATAAACTCTAAAGGGTATCATGCAACAAAACATATGCCCACAACTGTCTATAAAATGTTATCGCAGTGTGATTATTTGTGCAAATAACAAATAAATCCTTCACAAAAATGGGAGCAAAGACAAGATTCTACAAAAAAAGGGGCAATAACTCCACAATTACTTAATAGTATCATCATCAAATGCCTAAATCGATGGTCTGATTGGCTGCAATAATCAAAACAATAGATATAAAGTGGATAAGGTGATGGTTGTTACTGTTACAGTGTTCAATTCTAACTAACAAATGTACAACAGACAATCTAACCTAAAAAATATAATATGTCGAATCGATAGAATGATAACTGTCGTCGATAGAACTTTCTCGTGATTCTACAAAGTGGGCCGGGAAATAACTCTAAATAGATGCTTAGATGTAGCAGTGTTCATACTGACCACAGAATGCACAAATTAAATGTTCTAGTCAAAACAATCTAAAATAAGCTAAACAATGAAAATGTCGAACATAATAGAATGGCGAGTTTCGTCGCTAGAGCGTTCGCAAGATTCTACAAAGTGACCTAGAGAAAAAACTCTAAAAAGGCAATTTTTAACATAAAAGATTCGACACAGAGAAAGAACTCTGGAAATTAATTATGAGAACTTGCAATAGGCAATATACTTGAAAGAGCAAATTAGCCGTGTGCTGCTTCCGTTATATTCTTCTTAATTTTCGCGCTCATATGTCAACTGAACCGACGTTTTTTTGATAATCTGAATTGCAGACTTGTATTTAGTGAAATACGATTTTGGCCGTCTAAAAATTCCTTTGAATTGATGATAAAGCTCAGTATGCGACATTAAATTAATTAATATTGAAAATGGTAATACGTTTGTTGTAAATGGTAATCATGGAACATAATCTTCTATGTCAATACGGAATGTTGAAGATTTTTGGGACAGTAATATGCTGATGGAAGTACATATCAATACTATTGTGGAAATTCTGTTATCTTAATAAAAGTAATGTTGTTAAATCCGACAATTTTATCTTGTTAATGCATTTGTTACATTGGAACTTACCTATTTAAATTCTGAATTATCTGTCTTAACAGTAAAAATTCAGACAAATTTCTAAAAGTACAAAATGCAGCTGCCAGACATGTCATTAAAATTAGAAAAACACCCCTGTTTTATTGAATTTATACTGGCTGCCTATATTTAAATGTCTAAGTAATCTTGCTCCTATGTATACTTATTTGGACATTTAGAACCATTTATAGCACGTTGCACGCTTCGCACGTCTTTTAAAATTTAAAACGGTTAGAAATCTATGGCATAAAAAAACAATTTCATTTTTTCTTAATTTAAATTCGTTTCTGTAAAACATCAGCAGAAGTAGAAATATTTTTGTATAAATAATCTTACGCAATCACGGACTTTTTAAAGAGATCGAATAATAAAAGTAGTCTTTGATGTTTTCAACAAGGATAATGGCAATATAAAAAGATCTTCACTGTCCTTATGTGTTAAAGCGGCATTGGGTAGGATTAGATAAAGAACTGATAGTTCTGGCTATAATAGTTAAAATATAGATAATGAAAAGAGACTATTTTGAAAATTTCATTGAAATCACTACTCACTGAGCCAATTGAAAGGTATCGGCGATTTGATTATAGGCTAGCATCGAGTGTCATTAATACCGTTGTTACGATACTAAACAAAGTCTCGATTATCCATTTTTATAGTAATCACATCCACCACAAAACATGTTTGAATCCTCTAAATATCGCAGGCATTCGATGGCATCGGGAGTTTATTGTGGTCTTAATAAGTTAATTAATGTAACATTTCAGGCCTAAAGAAAGACCTGCAATAGGCAGATTTAGCTCTTGCATAATCCATGTTTAATTAAATAAACTTTCGTGCAACCTTCGTTATTTATATGTATTGCATGTGTGCATGCTCGTTTAAAGTTAAGTCCTCAGTTACCTTGATTATAACACACACTGGGAAACTAAATAGACCAATCGAGGTTTGGAGAATTTTTTGTTTATTTCTAAGTTATCTGTCTTATTATATAAAATAGAAATTGTAAACAGGATAAGGTCAATATGCGATGAATCATATTGAATTACAGCGATTTTATCAAACGAACACTCCCGGTGTTATTGGACTTGACCATTTCGTGAACGCTAACGCTGTATTACATTATAATGTGATCTGTGTGCATTGTGTGGATAAAAGCTAGCAAAGGGACATACAAATAGCTCTGTTAGACCATGAAGCTTATTGAATGACTGCGATTTCTGATAATAAACACCGGAGTTATTGCTCTTGATCAATCGCTGATGTGATCAATATGCATAGTGGGGATTCACCATTTTGTGAACGCTAACGCTGTAATACATTATAATGTGATCTATGTGCATTGTGTGGATAAAAGATAGCAACGGGACATACGAATAGCTCTGTTAGACGATGAAGCTTATTGAATTACAGCGATTTCTGATAATAACCCCCGGAGTTATTGCTCTTGATCAATCGTTGATGTGATCAATACGCTTAGTGGGGATTAGAGTTACTGAAAGACTACCGAATTCCAACAAATTTCGTTAATTACTCGCCATGCTGGAAGGTGGTTTGTAGATTATTTTACCTTTGCGACAAGATTTATCACATCTGCTGAAATCTATAGGATTATTCAGTCGAAGGAAGCTATCGAATTTTTTAAAAGTATATTTAATTATTGCTACCCCTATTGTCCTTTATGCCTCTTTTGAACATTCTAGCGAAGATGATGATGTTATATAATTTCATAAGATACGAGGCATCAAGGAACATTTTACATTAAAAACGAATTCAGATGTACACCAGAAATTTGTTAAATGGAAAAAGGTGTTTAAATATTTGATAATTAGTATGATATGAAATTACCGATACTTTATTTTTGAGAGAAAATAATATTACCCCTACAATTGAGTTAAAACTGTCAGTAATTTACATGTATGTTTCCAACTTATTAAATAAAACGTCTAGGATTCACAGGGTGTATAAAATGTGAGAATAACGAAAACTAATATTATTATTTCTGCCAGGGTAGACATGGTTTTTCTTTTAGATTTTTGTACAGTGAATATCCGCAATATATCAAGGACATTCTTTGGACTTTATATATATCTTGTTCATTCATTCAATCCTTTTGCTTTAATTCACGCATGCGCATAGTGCCAATCACGTAGAACTACAATTTTGGTAGTCTGGATCACTCAACTCAAAACTGCAACAAACTGAAAACCCCAAGATTCTTGTAGGTTTAAGTTGGAACTTGTTTCCGTGATTTCTAAATAAAAGAAGGGCAAGTTTCGAAGATAACACCCAACCAAGTTTCAGTTAAGCAAATTGAGATGGTGGTCTAGGATTCCGCTTCCATCTCAGTTCACGTAAATAATGTTTATCAAAACAAAAAAGGGTCAAAGTGTCCAAGACACCAACTGAAAGCATTCAAAACTTCTGCTTTAAACTACGCTATAATTTGGAAGATATCAACTCTATTTCGGTTGAGTAAGTGTATTGAGAAGATCAGAATGACACCTATAATACTCGAACAAAAATTGAAATGACCTCCCGTCGTCATAAGTCCAGTCGGTGCAGAAAAGTAGATGTTAAACCCAATTTCATTTCATTTGAAATGACCTAATGTGTATTTAATAAACACTACTGTTCGACTTACAAGTAAAAAAAAAAGAATCAAGCTATATATTTCTTTGGCATTTCACATCCCTCAGTTATTTTTTTCACAGTTTTACTTTGTGGGTTTTAAATTTGGATATCGAAAGAAAGCTGATATAGCATCCATCACCGAAGACATTTTAAATTGAATAAAAATAATGCTGTACTGCTTTTCGTCATTTGAAATGTCATGAAAAACATTTTATTTCATCAATCAATCTGTCAATGTTATTGGTCGTCTTATTTCACATCGCTCAAAGATCGCTTTGACATATTAAGATAAAAGGTTAAATGCTAAAAATGTCCAATTCCTGAAGCAACGGTCACTAACTTTATCCGTTCATTAACCATTGTTACTCTTACTATATGGTAAGGTGATGTTTCTGATGAGTCATCTTCACGGGGGGTTGGATGGCCGAATGGTTAGCACGTGCGTGCTGTATCATAAAGCCTGTCATTGAGTCAACTGGCGTGGTTTCGAATCCCCGGTTGTACGTGACAAGGAGTAGGGTGGCCTGTCCAACCTCGTGGGTTTTCTCCGGGTCCTCCGGTTTCCTCCCACTGCTAAAGACCCCTACGCGCAAGCGAATTATTGAAATAAAATTAAACCATATGTTAGTCCCGAAATGACCTAGTTTGTGTCGAGTGGACGTTAAACCCCATTTCTCGCTCTCTCTCTTTTGAATCATCTTCACTCGGGTATCGTCCCTCCGTCGACTTAACATTGATGATTCCCTGTGATATATTGAAATAAAAGGTGTAATGGTAAAGATATGACTGTGTTATCCAATTCTTGAAGCAATGGTTACGAGAGTTATGAGTTCATTAACCATTGTTACTCTTAAGCTGTTGTTTGATAATACAGATAAAGATATTCTGTAGGAACCCGTTCCATGCCCATTGTTACGAATTGGTAAGTCTCTATGACATTTCAATTATCATGGTCACTGTATTTTTATTTCTATGGCATAAAGTATGCTAAAGGGGAGTGATTGTTGCTTCTTTTTCAGGATCAGAAAGTCTCTGGAGTTCTGACGTGAATTATAAACAAGAGGGTCTGGTACAATTTGTTATTGACTCTGTATATGCTCTAGCTCAAGGTGTGCATGATATGTTGGCTTACGACTGTCCAGGGACACACCGAAACTTTTCTCGGTGCCTTAAAAACAGACCTTTGGCCGGAGAGGAATTGTTACGATTTATTCGCAACGTCAATATCAATGGTAAAACTTTTTTTATTATTTATATTAGGACTGAATATTGTTCTCTCTTCTCTTTTTTGCGCGTCCATTGGGTGGCATCCAGTTCTCTAAAATATACCTCCAAATATGGATAGCCAAGGTCCGCATATTCACATTACTACACATGACTTAACATATCTACTACGCTCGTGGTTCGTTCCTGGACGATGACAAGACATTAATGGATTTCTTTGATACGGGCAGTTAAAGATACATTATGTAACAGGTATCTCCTATTGTGGGTCGTTTTTGTGGCTGTTATTATAAACTATTATTTAGATATTTATTCGTATGACAAACCCACACTCAACTCTCTAGATAATTGGTGGCTAAGACATTGGGGGGTTTATTATCGTGGCAATGGTACTTGCCAATCGAAATTAATTAGTTTATTTCTTTCAAACCTTTAAACATTCGTTCAGAATGAAGTAATTTGACTGAAATTAAATATCTTAATCTCAAATAATGCTTTTTAAGGGATGTTGTGAATTTTCAGACACAGTAAAGATATATAGTCTTAATCCAGACCAACGACCAAATCACATCGGTCTTAGTTTATGAAGTATAATTCTAATATAATTTTAAAAAATCCTGATGTCCAACATTTGCATTTAAATATACATGATGTAGACACAATTATATGGAAATCATTTCATAATATCTGAGACACATTTATATCGAAAATAACTTCGTATACAGTAGATCAGTATACTAGCAGGTGTTTTTCATATAAATGTGTTTTGTGTTAATATGATTTTTTTGTAATCCTAAGGCAAGTTACTGTCTGCAAACCATATAGGATAGTATTTGACATGGACTATCCCTTGGGTTGCATGTCTAATGTGTTATATAGGACAATGATTTATTTATTTCATTAATGTTTGAACTTCCTGTAAAACCTTGATCCATATTTAATCAGGGTAAATGAAAATTGCAAATTCAATAACTTATTTCTTTTTTTAATCTCTGAAGGGATCTGTTGAGTGTTGGACACACATGGACGAAAGTTTTCTGAATGTTGTAATCAGGCTCCTCGAAGATTAAACGACCTTGGTAACCAAATCTAGTAGAACTAATTATATAGACTTTTCGTAAATAATTCATTGATTCCATGCAACTTGAAATGATTAGCACAATATATAGATATCCCCAGAGCCCATATTCTTTGTTTAACAGATGGAGCTGAATCTATTTTCTTCGGGGTGCGTACAGAGTTCAAGAAGATGATCGTTTGTAATTAAAAGAATATGTATTTACATGTTCCAATAGATTTGTGTCGATCTATATGACCTACATATGTCCTCACTTGAGTGATCGCCGGAGTAAACTCATCTGCTTTTATTGTCGAGTTTTTATTTCTGTGGAACACTTGTTGCCAATGTAAACTTTACGTGACATATGTAAACAATACGACTAGAATGGCGCCGGTTCATCGTATTAATAGTATTGGTGATTCTAAGTCCTGATCTCTTGATACACAATGGAACCGATTCCTCTTGTTTATGTATAGACTGTAGAGTCAATTAAAATTCCAGCTTCTTAAATAACGTAAACGAAACACCGCGTATATTTATAATCGTATATAATGGGAGTATTACAATGTTTATGTGGTACTTACATGTAGATTGAAATTAATAGAATGTCTTGTGCAATCGATACTGTTTCATTATTTGATACAACTTAGTTTTGCTCGTTGTTTGTTTTTGCGAACCATGAGCAAATCGGTAATAAAATTTTGACCGTGCAGTTTCCCCGTTAAGGATATTTTTACTAAAACACAAACGGAGCACATTCGGGCTCCTAAATTTCCAAAATAAACTATAATCTAAAGTACACATTACTTTCTATTTAGTTAACGCCGCCATCATTAATTTCTTGAATCATCTTTCAACGTTTTAACAACAACTCATCTACGAGCAGCCACACTCTTTTTGTTACATACTGACTTTCTTTAGCACCTTTAAAATTATCGTGGGTTGGATGACCGCGTTTTTTTCATAAGGTCTGTCATTGGGTCAACTGGCGTGGTTTCGATTCCCCGGTTTTACGTGACAAGGAGTAGGGTTTCCAATGTCTATCAGTTCGCGATCCTAATTTAAAAGGATCCGTACTCGGTTTAGGTCAATGTTTGACATAGATGGGTCAAAAGGTCTTCTGATACTGCAAAATAATTTCCAAGTCTCCTATGTAATGGGTTGCTGTGGTAGTCCAGTGGTAAGGGAACTAGATTCTCGACTAGAATGTCCCGGTCCGGGGATGAACTAGGCAATTTTCGGCCTCGACCCGATCCCGCTTGTAAACTGTCACTTAGTCGTTCGGAATAGGCCGAATATCCACTGTCCGTTCAAGATTCTACCCCCTAGCATTGCACGTCTGACCAGACGAAAAATAAAAAAAAGACACATTAGCCTCAAAATGACAAGACTTTCCATTCTATTCAATTTATATGAAAATTCAAAGATGAATCGAAAGAAATATACGTAGAATATATAATTTCTTTTAAAGTTTAAATAAGTTTCAAGAATTTAACTATATTCAGAGAAATCAGTGGTGTTAAAATATCACAATATGGCCCAACATCTGCTTCCACACAAGCTGATATCGCAGACAAGAAAGGGAATTCATATGTGAATAATGATCAATTTACAGTCAGCTAATTGTTTTTAGACATATTTTTTCGATATTCTGCCCTAAACAAATGACATGTATTTCTCATTTGTTATTGGTCAAACAAACTGATCAATCACATTATTAGACAGATGAGAATAAATAAATTCTAAACTGCGGTAATATTACATTTCCTGACAGACTCATTTATAATCATTTCTTCTTAATCTCAGGATTCTGATATCAGACGATATATATCTTAATATGAATACATGATGTATTTTTCTATGTATGTGGGATGTTGATTTTTTGTCGTTACGGTTATGCTTCGATATATATCATTTTCCGAAGAATAATACGCCTGATTCGTTATAAATTGCCTGTCGTCTGCGATATTATACTTTTGAAAATACAATAATGTTTGTTTAGATCGAAGAGTTTCGCTAGCAAAAAAACTCATGTACGAATGTATAGTAAGAGATGCTGTCGTGGTCTCTTTCATCTGACATACTTTGGTTAATTGTTTAGCCCTAAACGTTCAGTCTATAGACTGAAGAGACAGACGTCGTTCCATTTTAATATAACGAAATCGTGAAGATGACAAAAGGGGAATAACTCTATTTTTCAGGTTCAAACGGGGACCCAGTGGTCTTTGACGCAAACGGTGATGGTATAAGAAATTATGATGTATTCCAGTTTCAAAGATTACCGAGTGGTATTTATGAATATGTTAGAATTGGGGAAGGAATATTTACTGGAAATTTTAGGTGAGACTATGAATAAATAAAAATTAATAGTCGTTGGCAGACAAAATGTCTAACAATAAACTAATGTATTTATATCAACCACCTTTGTGGGTCCCCAAACAATATATTATTATCGTATCATATCATGTACTATGCGTGGAGTTAGAACATATTTGTGAGCTGTTGAGTATTATCCTGATTTTTTCCAAATCCATAGCATTCAGGATTATTTTCAATTCGCTCATTCATTCATTATCTCACGCAAATACCCTCAAATTGCCGCTTTAATGTTTTTGAACTTCAATCTTTACTAGAGACGATCTTTTTACAGGATTTTGAACCTGCGCTCAACTTTAATTCAACCCTAAATGTAGCTGACTCTAATATAGATAATATAGATACAAACTACTTCCAATAATCTATATTAGTTCAAAGATTGATTGTAATTATATTGTTTGTATTTTCAGTCTAACTTTAAACGAAACGGCTCTGAACTGGAATAAAATTCCACGATCTATCTGCAGTGACCCCTGCACATTCGGACAAGCCAAAAAACAAAATGGTGGTTGCTGCTGGATGTGTGTTCCATGTCAAGAAAACGAATATCTTCAGGATGAGAACACGTGTGTAGCTTGTCCTATTGATGCTCGACCAAACGTGAATAAAACAGAGTGCCAAAAGCTGCCAGAGTTTCATTTGGAACCATCTAGTCTATGGTTTATCCTGCCTGTTGCATTTTCCGGCTTTGGGATTTTGTGTACAGGGGCCGTTTTGGTGATCTTCATTCATTACAACAAAACACCGGTTATCATGGCGTGCGGACGTGAATTGTGTTACTTGTTACTTCTGGGAATATTCCTTTCTTACGGAACATCTTTTGTAATGCTGGCTAAGCCTTCTGTTATAATGTGTGCACTGCGTCGTTTGGGGTTGGGTGTATCTTTGTGTTTTATTTACGCCGCTCTGCTGACAAAGACCAATCGTATCTATAGGATATTTAACAGCGGTATCAAAGCGATGGTAAAAAGACCAGGATACACGAGTCCTAAATCTCAGATATTAATCTGTATCTGCATTGTATCAGTGCAAGTAATTGGGGGCTTAACTTGGTTAGGATTTGAAAAGCCCTCGACTGTGAAAATTTATGAACAAAACGATTACATTGTGCTGAAATGCAAATCCAGTCAAATAGCAACAATAATGTCACTTTCGTACAATATATTTTTAATTGTTTTATGCACCGTTTATGCTTTCAAGACAAGGAAAATACCACAAAATTTCAACGAAGCGAAATATATCGCCTTCACTATGTACAGTACATGTATTGTGTGGCTCGCTTTCATTACAATTTATTTTGGAGCTAATCACGACTTTAAGGTGAGTACAGGTATCATTTAAACATACATAATGCAAGAGTTAAATCTGCCTATTGCAGTTATTTCTTTGTGCCTGAAATGTTATATAAACTATTAATTAGATATTTATTAACATGAAAAGACCGTAATCAACTCTCGGTGCCATCTTATGTGTTCGATTTTCTCTGGATTTGAATCCGATCTGCTGCTCAACGCTCATTGATGATTAAATGCAAAAATGGATAATCGGGACTATGTTTCTATCGTACATATTTTAGTTATGATGATCGAAGCTAGGCCTAAACTTCAATCGCTAATATCTCGGTTCAGAGTGGAGCAAATTGACTGCAATTTTCAGCATATTTCCTTTACATCATCTAAGTTTTAACTATTATAATTATAATTGCCAGCTCTTTATCTAATCTTCCATTATGCCCCTTTAAACGACTCCACGACCTTTGGTTTTTAAAGGCACATTACTGCAGAAGGCGCATAAACTTGCTCCTTTTATAAATGTAATACTTCTGGTGGAACTGGGCTCCACGTAGTACTCATCTTGATTTTGGTTTTCTTGTTCTTGGGGGATACGTTCTTCGAAAAAAGCCCAAGGCTTCGTGAATTTAAGTACGAGCATTGATTGGCGGATATGGATTTTCGAATTAACTTTACCATTCCAAGATAGCGGCAATGAAGTCATACCTTGTTCCCTGTCAGGCGCGTACTTACTTTTTTATACGCCCACATTTTCATGTGGATGTATATTGTCGTCGCCCCTGTCCGTCCGGACGGTTGTGTGCCCGTCCAAAATTTGTTTGTGGATACTCTACAGGTCGCAATTTTTATGCGATTTTGACGAAACTTGACATATAGGTCTATGATCTCCCAAAGATCTCGGTTTCTTTTTATATTGGCATGTATCGGACTATAACTTCATGGATTATGGCTCCTGATTATACGAAAAATCACATTTTTCTCTTGTGGACACTCTAGAGGTCACAATTTATATTTTGATCCGATTTTGATGAAACTTGACATGCATGTTTTTAACCCAAATATCTTGTTTCCTGGTGATATTCGCGCATATCGGATCGTAACTTCCTGAATTATGGCCCCTGATTGTACGAAAAAATCGTGTTTTGAGCTTGTGGTCCCTATAGAGGTCACAATTTTTATCCGATTTAAAAAAAACAACGTGTGAATATATCACAGTTATACACTAATGATGGTTGAGTTCGAATTTCGTGACAATCGGACAAAAATTGTACACAAATAGTGTAAAAATTTGGTATATCACGGTTGTGCACCCTCTAGAGGCCACAGTTTTTGTCAGATTTGGATGAAACTTTAAATATATGTTTTTATCATAAAGATTTTGGTTCCTCTTGATAATCACACATACCAGAACGTAACTTCCTGGATTATGGCCCCTGATTGGTCGAAAAATAGCATTTTTAGCTTGTGGATTCTCTAGATGTCACATTTTTTCCGATTTTAAAAACCGTTTAGATATATCCCCATTCCACCATAATGAAGGTTGAATTGGACTTTCGGGTAAATCGAAATGAAACTGCCCGACAAAATGGCCGCTCTTTCCACGCAAATTGTGTATAAGTATGTAATACAAAGGTTGTGGACCCTCTAGAGGTCACAATTTTTATCCAATTTTGATGAAACTTAAAACATATCTTTATATTCCAAACATCTCAGTCCCTTTCTGGATTATGGCCACTGATTATACAAAAAATCCTTTTTGTTTTTAGTTTGTTCTCTATCCATCTCTTGCAAAATGTGGGCCTATCCTGTCTGGCATCTGCTGGTTCAAAAAGTCTTCATCAGATAAAATAAGATGGCGAACTGGTATTAATATAGTTTAATTTTAGTTGGCCATAAATCCGCCAGGATTCATCGATATAATAATATTTGAAACAATAAACCTTTTTGCTGGGATTACATCTTATTGTGCATGATCCGAAAGCTTATATTCTACTGTGTAATATTTAAAGACGTGCGTTAATGTATCCTACAAAGTTTATTCTTAAATCCGCTGAATATAGACCACAGTTTAGCTCATAAATTCATTTTGAAAATTCTCATAATATGTTATGTTTGAATAGTAAGATGTATTGCAAATGAGACCACGAATCTCATACTACTCAGTATTGTTAGTTCTCTTTTATTTCAACTAATCTGACAATAACCAGGCAAAACTATACCTTCCGATACATTGATGACATAACACCTATCAATGGTAACGAAAATTTCAACTAGTGTAAAAGTGAACCTACCGCCTTTTACGTCACGTCATTCAGTCAGCAGACGGGTGTCTTTCAAGACGGGTTACATTTTCTCATTAATTGTGAACCTCCACTACAAAACCAGCCACATGTCCCAATTTTTAAAAACTGTGATTTAATATGCTTATCTTAAAGGGGACTTTCTGTTGATATATAAAATATGCAAATTACAACAAAAAATAGGCTGAGTTATGGCCATGTGAAGGTTCCATAGTTGAGATGCTGCCAATTTCAAAATAATGAGAAGTTTGCCTTTTACAACAGCCAAACTAAATCCCATAGTAACACATATAACTATTGAATACATCAAAATAAAATTCTGTGCATATAATAACGTGTGGTGCACCAACATCTGTACAAAATTTCATTAATATATTCCTTTAGTAACATATATATATATATTTTTTTTAATTTGCCTGAAATCGATATTTCTTCGCATTGGCTATGTTATGGCCATATGACTGCAAAGGCCTGGTTCCACATATTAAATATGATTTTTGCTACAAAAGATCATTTTGCATATCTTAATTTGTTTTGTTTTTTAAGAGACAATAATTCTTGAGTTGCCCAAATAAAACTATTTTGCCCGTTACCATGGTAACTGTTTTATAAATAATTGGTTTTATATCACATTGGAGGGGAAAATATAAACCAAACCCTCTTATTAGAGTAGAAATATTAGCACACGACTCAATTTCACATAATCTTATATGGTAATATTGAATTTAACAATAACTTAAAACATCACATGAACAATTCAACATACATTATGAAAGAGCTAAATCTGCCTATTGCAGGTCTTTCTTTAGGCCTGAAATGTTATCTAAATTATTAATTAGACATTAATTAACTTATCCAGACCATAATCAACCCTCGATGCCATCGCTAGCCTGCGATGTTTATTGGATTAGGTTCCGATTTGCTGTTCGACTTCCTTTCATGATTTAATCATGAAATGGATAATCGAGACTATGTTTTTTATCGTACCGACTTTAGTAATGATGATCAAGACTAGGCCGAAAATTCAATCGTTAAAATCTCGGTTTAGAGTGGATCAATTTGACTGAAATTTTCAGCAAATTCCCTTTACATTATCTTGTTTGTAACTATTATATTTGTCTAATCTCCCATAATGCACCTTTCATTATTTTTAACTTTCTAAAATACCTTGGAATCAAAAGTTTTTTTGTTAGTTGTTATTATTTATTTAGGACTTCAATCAAATAAAGAGGGTTGCGTTCGTTTTTCACTTTGGAATATGATGAAAATTCTATTTTTAAATAAATGTTGCCATGGTAATCAGCCAAAATCAGTAATTTATAGTTCTTGGATATCAAACACAAACCTAAGCTAATGTGTCTTGATATGTAAAACTAATAAATTCATATTTTAAAGTGTCAAACTTATGTGAACTGGGGACCTGTTTTATGAAAAACCTGTTTTATGAAAACAGGTCCCCAATTCACAAAAGTTTGACACCTTCAAACTTAACTAGGCTGTTGGTGTCTCGGCAAATCTCCAAGCAATGTGTCCCCTGACTCTGGTGTAGGCAAACTTTATGATCCATGTCAGTTCATAACGAAATATTCTCCAAAAGGATCAACACCTTATCTAAAATATATAAATAAATAAGCATGTATCAATATACTATTTTAATAATCTTAAAAAGTAAGTGAAAAAGATTTAGTAATTTCTTTTCGAATCTAAAAATGCTGTGGATATTCGGATGCCACACTGCTATTTGTCAGGCACCTGATCCGTACATACGTCCATGTCGCCTGACACCGAATATCATATTATTGCTATTCGCCTGACACTGGGTGTGCATATCAAATTGTTATTCGTTCGACATCGCAGCCTCATATAAATATCGTGTGCACCAGTAGGTGACAGTTACTTTTAAAATTGTCATTTTAGACTGAAAATTCACAGAAGTAAGTTCAACTTTCTAGTTGTAAGGCCTATGCAGGTGTGTGGAATATGTCTGCTATAATGCCTTATCAATATGCCACTAGTCTAGGTCTACTACTGTACTACTGTGTTAATTCCAGGGTGGATGGAAGCGCCACTGGATTGGCAAAAATACACCTTATTATAACCAGATTGGCACCGGTTTATATGGAGATTATTTTAATCTATAATGCGTGTTCGCCTACTCTTTGAATTAATACCCCCATGATGTCTTTAAACGTACACATCGTAGTGTACATGGGTGCACGTCCGGTAAATCTAGAAATTGCAATCGAGACTCCAGTTCCCTAACAGTCTACTATCGCAATCCAGCGCTTTTTCCATCTTTGAATAACTTGGTCTTCATACCTTATTTATCTATTATGTTTTCCATTTCAGATCGAGATCATCTCCTTGTGTATGTGTGTTAGTATTAGTGCGACGACAGCACTGTTTTGTCTTTTTGCTCCAAAGGTGTATATAGTATTATTACAACCCCATAAAAATGTCCGCCAAGCGGCGTCCACGTCGATTCAAAGTGCCAATAACAAAAACAATAGTCGATCATACGGGGTGACGTTGGCGTTACCCCTTCCGTCGGGGATCATTGTGCAAAACGGAACAGTCCACAAAGAAGTGGTGCAAACGGACAATGCTGTATTCTCAGACAGTATGGAGGATACGTCCTCCTGTGACGAAGGCGTTGCAATGCAAGTACCCACAGTAAATGATATTAATTCTTCATAAACTGATGATGTCTTCCTTGTCACCGTTTTATGTGTACTAGTTTATACGTATCTAGCAGATGAATGAATAGTGAAAAGTGAGAATGAAGCGGGTATATAATAATATTGATAAAAGATATTTGTACGGTTATGGTTGTATTAATAAGCAAATAAAATCTAACATAATATTTGTCATGTCTTAAGGTAACTATTGGATTCAATGGTACATGATTGGGGGAATCAGGGATGATGGCTGGTGCTGCATTGTGATGATGTATAATGCACCAACGACATCTCAGTAAACATATCCGACTCATGCCAGACATGTTGGCATATCCGTGGCCCAAAGCAACTCAAAATTACCGACAGGCTTTTCTCTGTATTAAATTGCATAGCTGATTGGTAACGTGCATATCTACAAAGTGTGAATAATAACATCCAATGAAATACATCATTCTAAATGTAGAATAATGAAAATAGGCTTCAAAGGAAAGGCTCTTCTAAATCTAGATCGTTTGTGAAATCTTTGACATCGATCAATGAATAACTATTCAAGATAAGAATGTTACCAGTCGTTGGATGAAAGATTTCCATTACATACACAGAACGAAACACGGACGTGTCCATTGCAAGAATAACACATTATACCCCACACAACCCCTTCTTTAAAATGATTATCAATATTCAAAAATGATACTAAGACTTAAATGAGCCAAGTCGCGATAGATTTACCTAACACTGTACAATAACACGAACGCCGTGTACCAATGTGTTAATATAAACTAAGATGTACATCTTCGTCGTTCCAGTCGTACAATCGTTAAACCAGTGTGATATCGTGATTAAGTGAAACGTTTAAATGTGTTTAAAGTTATTAAATAAATGACATGTGGATTTAGTTTAAGATAGTTTCTATGAATAAGGACACGGGAAGTGAATTAACATTTTAGTTTGAAATAATTGTATTAAAATTATTTGCTGTTCAAACGGAGGGAGATGTTGATAAAGCAAAATATGAACACTTAAAAGAAATATACTATACGCTTTGGCAGGAATTTGAAGAAGGCTGCTGAAAGATGATGTTAGGCTCTGAATAGGTGTTCATGATGCATGTTGGAAATAAAATGATTAAGAGCCATTAATTGGGTCGAGTAGAATCTGATAGACGGGACTCCTGGCAAGGAACAGCGTTTATTTGGCTGGAAAGAGCGAATACCCGAGGTCCCGTGTAGACGTTGGTGTGCACGTTAAATAACCCCTGAAAGTTGGAATTTGAATTAAGAGTATAGTCCGTAGTGCCGCTGTCCGGGCAAAATTTTCCTCATAGTACACTATCTGTGAAATAACCGTCTTCATTGGTCCATTTTATTATAATATGTAAATTTTACCATTTGTAATAAATAGACAGACCACAAAGATAATACAGGTTAAAAATAAAATAGAAATCTAATCATTAGTTATCTAACTTCCAGTTACTATTCGATTTCGACTAGTGTTCAGGAATACGACATCAATGTCTGTTCAGGTCTTGATAGGGCACGAGAGAGGGAAATGGGGTTTAACGTCAACACAAACTAGGTCATTGTGGGACTAATTGCTAGGTAACAAGATGAATACAATTTAACAAAAAACATTAATTTCCCCACTGACTTCAATGTTAATTCCGGTCTCTTCGCCGTGCTCCAACTATTCCCCAAATTTCGTTGGGCTGAACGTTTTTCAATTCAGACCGAGTAACAAATGGCCATGCCTTGGCTCCAGATATTTTTCCCCCGTGAATGACGTCAGAGACGACAGACGTTGTGAATTTCCCGATGGAAGGCTATTGCAATAGAGCACTGCATCCCATCATTTTGACTAAATGGAAGCATAAACATGGTCAATTGCGTTATTTGGGAATGTACTAATAACACCAACAATAAATCAGGAAGCACGTGTCATTTCTTTAAATTTTCAAGCGAGGTAACACGCGGAAAGGTCTGGACACAGAGATGTCAACAAGTCGAAAAGGGCTGGTCTCCATCAAAACACGCTTCTCTTTGTTCGTAACATTTCAAGTTATCTGCTTACGAACGTGATTCTGCTCGATTGAAGGAACTTGGATATGAAAACCTAAGAGCGAAACTCCAGCCAGATGCCGTGCCCATATTCGGCATTGTTCCCGAGGAAAATGTTTGTTAATTTTGACAGTGTAACTGCGACTCGAGGGGCTAAAACTACGTTACTACAGGAACCGACATGCAACCGAGGTAATTAGTAGACCCTCGCCTAAGCACTAACGTCCACTGACCAGTGAAATTTTAATATTATTATGGTGATCAAGATATAGCAGTTATGTTATCTTTCCATGTTAAAACTGTGCATAGTTCTATGGTGACACCGACACGCTTTCAAAATCTTGCAATAAAAATGTCAGCAACATAGCTAGGTAGCCTAATGTAAATTATTATCCACTTTTCGAAGCGTCTTTCGCATCAGTAGTAGGTTTAAACCTATGTCGATGATTTTGCAGTCGATCATACATAGTCCTAGATGTAGGAAGTCCGTCAGTTTTTAAGGACAATATTGGTGTCAGTCATTATCACATGTGATAGAACTGGTTAAACACGTTCCAAATATAATGTTAACACAGAGATCATTGCTACGATAGAAGCCTTCAAGAAAGGGAAGTGATGAACGCAAAAGGAAAATAAGAGTTACCCTTCTATATATAACTAACTGAAGTGACGAGTGATAACAGATTCACGGGCGAATTTCTGCTCATTAATAATTCCTGTTTGGACCAAAAGAAAAATAGAAAAAGTCCGTGCATTACCATGTTTTTATTAAGTATAGAATGAATAAAAACAAGGGAATGTACGGGCTATTTCTATTTTTCTCGTTTTCCCTTATCTAGTGACATTCAATTACTTTTTTGAATTATCAAAATTTTTAATATCCTCTTACAGCCTCACATAACAACTTTGGTCTAAAATGGACGAAGATGGTTTGAATTAACATTTTCTGCCAGGTTTTGGTAAATATTCATGATTTTGAGGCGGAAGGATAACAGGGTTATCAGGTTGGCTACGGCAATATGTACGGCAACTAGTTACATGTTTTAAGTATGCTTCTTCAAGTTTGTGTATCTCAAAATTTTGGTGGTCAACCTCATACAAATTTTAGTGCAAAGACATGACCATTTGTTCCTCTGTCTGTAGTGAAAAGCATTCAGCCCAACTAAAATTTGGGGAAAAGTTGGAGGTGGGCAAAGAGGCCAGAATTAACATTGAAGTCAATGGAGAAATTAATGGCGGTCTGCCTCCCAATGAAGAAATCGGTTGTTTCCCTTTAACTAACTATAATGGCAATGTAAATTGGGAGTGAACAGAGGCACGAATTACTGCTATTTTAATATATTGGGATTTAGATTCAACCAGAACGTCTCGGATTCCAGGATAGAACCGGTGGCGTTGACAAGGGAATGTGTTAAGTTGACACGATAAACTGTGACAGATGGAACTCGAACTGTAGGTAAACACACCACTCGCCGAAAAAAGAATGCTCCCCTGGAGTAACAATAACTCTGTTCTAACTGAGGCAGAATGTTCAAATTTGATGTAAATCTTTATAAGGTGAAGGTCTTGATTAATTTCGATTATCATATCGTACGCATGCTTTCAAAGGCTTAATTTTAAAAAGGGTCCTTATTATAGTGAAAGTTATGGCATACTATGGATTTTTTTTATGAAGAAATTTCAATTATCATTGGCACAGCAACTCGCGCGCTTTGGGACAGCGAACAAATGATCAAAATTGGCAAGTTAAACAAATTTTGATAGCTTTATATAATACGATATGATATGTATGAGAGTACCATAAACACATAAATATATAAATAATTATCTATAACCACATATTACTAGGGTTGTAGTACGATAGGCCAATTATATCAGATCAATTTTATATCTAGTTCCACAGATCACGTATGTGTTCAAAATACCACAAATTAGTTATCATACAGGCAATGACGTCATAGTGGCTTGTGTATTAAATAGGAACAATTTTTGTTGCTCATGTCGTATTTCAATGCTTTACACAGTTCGGACTGTCTGGATGTGCGTTTCCAGCAAACAGATCACGTAAGAACCATTCCGGATTTCCGCTGGTCGGAGTCTATTTCCCATTTTCGTGTATATTACGGTAGTGTGTGGGTGTGAGGTGGGGTGTAAATGTCTGATGTAGTTGATCGTGATTAACTTCCCATTACAACTATATATGGAATACATACCTGGGTGTATTTTGATTTTTGATCTCCATGGTATATGTAAATATGTATGTATTTGTGTCTAGTACCCGTAGAACGTTTGAATTAAAAATATTATTTACTGCAATGTGTATATTATGTGGGTGTAAGACAGGTCGGGAAGTCTAACGTAGTTGATCGTTATCAGTTTTCCATCATATCTATATCATATATAAACACGCGTACATGTATATAAATATCCATTTACTTTGATCTGCCCCATTCATGGCAAATGTAAATATTTAAGTACTAGTGGAGCTTTTATATTCCAAATATTCTTTACTTGAATGTTTACACTAGAGATTTATATTTCAAAAACATGTATGTTCGACGCTTGGGCAGTACCATTTCGTAAAGAATATGAAATGAAATGTAATGGGCTTTGAGTTTGACGTCCTATTGTCCTAATGCGACTGAGGGAAATTTTGCCCGGTCATCGGCACTACGGACTACTCTTATATCGAATTACAATTGCCAAGGGATCTTTTACGTGTACGCCAATGTCTATACGGGACCTCCACTTTTCGTCCCATCCGAACAACTATACGTTGTTGCATGCCAGGCGAAAAGGGATTAAATGGATAATTAAATATTTATATATATGTACAAAAAACAATAAATGACGGGACAAGACGTTATATAACGAATGGAAAATAAAGAAGTGCGAATAGAGATAATCTTACACATTTTACAGACAGACACACAACACGAATATTTGACAAAACATACATGAATGTGGACGAACATTTAGACAAAGAGACTAGACCGACAGAAACGACCTGTGTGGGTGGGCGTGTGTGTGTGTATATATATATATATATATATATATATATATATATATATATATATATATATATATATATAAGAATACTTAATTAAAGCTGCTCTTTGCTAATATATAAT